GCCTTCTGAGTTGCTAGGATTACAGGCATCAGTCACTGGCGCCTGGCTTCTTTGAACTCTTATGCTTCTCTTTCACACTCATTGGATGTGTGTTTTATTTGAAATTTAGGTATGAGTCACATCTGCAAGCCTAAATTTTTTTTCTTTTTTTCTTTTTTTTTTTTTGGGGGGGGGGGGTCCAGTTGTGGGGCCTGAACTCTGGGCCTGGGCGCTGTCCCTCAGCTCTTCAGCTCAAGGCTAGCACTCTACCACTTGAGCCACAGTGCCACTTCCGGCTTTTTTCTTTTTGCTTATGTGGTGCTGAGGAATTGAACCCAGGGCCTCATGCATGCAAGGCAAGCACTCTACCACTGAGCCACCTTCCCAGCCCTTGTTTTTACTTTTGGTGGTACCATGATATGAACAAGTAGAATAGGGGAGGAGGAGAATTTTGCACTAACTGGGCTTGCTTGCTCTCAACTAGCCCTCTCCCACCTGACTCTGACCTGACTTTTCTTTTGGATTAATTGGAAATGTCTCTGTGGAAGAATCTAGCTCTTTTTTGCCAGTCCTGGGGCTTGAACTCAGAGCCTGAGCACTGTCCATGAGCTTCTTTTTGCTCAAGACTTGCACTCTACCACTTGAGCCACAGATCCACTTCTGACTTTTTCTGTTTATGTGTTGCTGAGGAATCGAACCCAAGGCTTCATGCATGCTAGGCAAGTACTCTACCACTAAGCCACATTCCCAGCCTCCCTTTTCTTTTAAATAATAGTATCCAGGCCTCAGATCTGCTTTTTCTCACTGCTGATGCTGACACTCTACCACTTGAGCCAATCTACTAGTTTAATCTGTACCTTTAGATTTATGATGGATGGACAGAGTATAAGGGAACATTGCCAAAGCAGTGTTTTGATGGGGACATCTAAAATACTTTTTTTCTTTTTGTTCCAAATTACAATTTTAATCCTTCCTTCCTTGCTTCCTTCCTAACTTTCACCTGTCTGTCTGTCTGTCTGTCTGTCTGTCTGTCCATCTGTCCTGGGGCTTGAACCTCAGGGCCTGAGCACTGTCCCTGAACTTTTGTGTTCAAGGCTAGCTCTCTGCCACTTGAGCCACAGCTCTACCTCTGGGTTTTTTTGTCCTGAGTTGGGGATTAAGAGTCTCACATAGTAGAGCACTAGCCTTGAGCTGAAGAGTTGAGGGACAGTGTTCAGGCCCAGAGTTCAAGCCCCAAGACTGACCAAAAAAAAGAGAGAGAGAGTCTCACATACTTTCCTGCCCAAGAGGCTGGCTTTGAACTAACATCCTTAGATATCCATCTCCTGAGTAGCAAGGATTACAGGCCTCAGTCACAAGTTCCTTGCTTTTCAAGCTTTTTGTAAGAAGTAGTTTAGATTAAAACTTGGATCTATCTCTTAGTTACAGTGACACCTTCTGGTAGAGACTTTGTCATCATTGTTTTATTTCTTTGTACTTCAGGGAAACTACCAGTTTTCCAAGCCAACTCCCAGGTGCGTGGATGTGTCTCTTGGGGCTTGAGCTGAGCCTAGGTGCTGTCCTGAGCTTTTGTGCTAGCATTCTACCATTTGAGACACAGCTCCACTTCTGGCTTTTTTGGTGCTTAATTGGAGATGAGTCTCAAGGCTTTGGCTGGCTTTGAACTGAGATGTTCAGATCCCAGCCTCCTGAGGAGGTATGAGCCACTGATGCCTGGCTTAATGTTCTTTTTATTTTTGTTGGTCATGGGAATTGAACTCTGGGCATGGGTGTTGTCCCTGAGCTCTTCAGCTCAAGGCGAGCATTCTACCACTTGAGCCACAGTGCCACTTCCAGTTTTCTGGTAGTCTCATAGACTTTCCTGCCTGAGCTGGCTTTGAACTGCTATCCTCAGATCTCAGACTCTTGAGTAGCTAGAATTACTGGCGTTAGCCACTGTTGCCCAGCCCATTGATTTATCTATTAGCATCTGTTAATCTCAGGAACTTACCTTTGCTCACCCTTCTCTCCCTCTCCCCTTCTCCCCCTCCCTCTCCCCCTTCCTCTCCCTCTCATTCTTTCTCTCCCTCGTTCTTTTTCTCCCTCTCTTCTTTCTCTCGTTCATTGCTTCTTTCTTTCTTTTCTTCCTGTCCTGTCCTGGAATTTGAACTCAGGCCCTCACACTTGCTGGGCTGCTGGCCTCTTATTCCTTGGGCCACATCTCTAATCCAGCGTTTTTACTTGTTATTTTTGGAGATGATGTCATATAGACTATTCTGTATGCTGTTTTTTTTGTTTTTGTTTTTGTTTTGAGGGGTCCGGTTGTGGGGCCTGAACTCTGGGCCTAGGCGCTGTCCCTCAGCTCTTCAGCTCAAGGCTAGTGCTCTACCAATTGAGCCACAGTGCCACTTCCGGCTTTTTGCTTATGTGGTGCTGAGGAATTGAACCCAGGGCCTCAGGCATGCAAGGCAAGTGCTCTACCACTAAGCCACCTTCCCAGCCCCCAGTGCCACATTTTAATATTAAACTCTTAGGCCAGACACTGGTGGCTCATGCCTGTAATCCTACTTTCTCAGGAGGCTAAGATTTGAGGATCCTTATTTGACGCCAGCCCAGGCAGGAAAGTCTGTGAGACTTATATGTCCAGTTACACACCAAAATGCTGAAGACAGAGCTGTGGCTCAAGTGGTAAAGCATCAGCTTTGAGCAGAAAATTCAGGGACAGCATCCAAGCTGTGTGTGTGTGTGTGTGTGTGTGTGTGTTTTGTGTGTGTGTGTGTGTGTGGTGTGTGTGTGTGTGTGTTTTGTGTGTGTGTGTTTCGTGTGTGTGTGTGTTTTGTGTGTGTGTGTGTGTTTTGTGTGTGTGTGTGTGTGTTTTGTGTGTGTGTGTGTTTGTGTGTGTGTGTTTTGTGTGTGTGTGTGTGTGTTTTGTGTGTGTGTGTGTGTGTGTGTGTGTGTGTGTTTTGTAGACCAAACCCAGAGCCTTTTATCATTTATTTATTTATTTATTTGATTTATCTGTTTCCAGCCCACTACTACTTTTTTTTTGGTCCTGGGGCTTGAGCTCTGTGCCTGGGCCCTATCCCTCAGCTCTTCAGCTCAAGGCTAGTGCTCTACCACTGGAGCCACAGTGCCACTTCTGGTTTTCTAGTGGTTTATTAGAGATAAGAGTTTCATGGACTTTCCTGCTGGGGCTGGCTTCGAGCTGTGATACTCAGATCTCACCTTCCTGAGTAGTTAGGATTGCAGATGTGAGCCACAGGCATCCCCCTCCAGCCCACTACTTTTTTTTTCTTTAAATTGATTTTTTTTTTATCTTTAGCCAATGGCTTAAAACCTACCTACCTACACTTTGAAAGCACCCTAGTGAACTTTAAAAAGATTCTATTGCCTGCCTCAAGTTAATTGCACCAGTCTGTCTACCACTGGAGTACAAACGTTTGTGTATTTTTTTTTTTTTTTTGCCAGTCATGGGCCTTGAACTCTGGGCCTGGGTGCTGTCCCTCAGCTCTTCAGCTCAAGGCTAGCACTCTACCACTTGAGCCACAGCACCACTTCTGGCTTTTTTCTGCTTATGTGGTGCTGAGGAATTGAACCCAGGGCCTCATGCATGCAAGGCAAGCACTCTACCACTGAGCCACCTTCCCAGCCCCCACGTTTGTTTATTTTTAAAGCTTCCCCAAAATTGGTCTTTTGTATAACCAGAGTGAGAATAGTGTTTTTTTGGTGTTGTTGCTGTTGTTTTTTTGTTTTTTTTTTGGGGTCCGGTCGTGGGGCCTGAACTCTGGGCCTGGGCACTTTCCCTCAGCTCTTCAGCTCAAGGCTAGCGTTCTACCACTTGAGCCACAGCACCACTTCCTGCTTTTTTTTTTCTTTTTGCTTCTATGGTGTTGAGGAATCGAACCCAGGGCCTCATGTATGGGGGGGGGGGGTCCAGTCATGGGGCCTGAACTCTGGGCTTGGGCGCTGTCCCTCAGCTCTTCAGCTCAAGGCTAGCACTCTACCACTTGAGCCACAGAGCCACTTCCGACTTTTTTTTTCTTTTTGCTTATGTGGTGCTGGAGAATCGAACCCAGGGCCTCATGCATGCAAGGCAAGCACTCTACCACTGAGCCACCTTCCCAGCCCAGGGCCTCATGTATGTAAGGCAAGTGCTCTACCACTGAGCCACCTTCCCAGACCTCTTTTTTTTTTTTTTTTGGCCAGTCCTGCAGCACTCAGGGCCTGGACGCTGTCCCTGAGCTTTTTGGTGGGGGGGAGGAGGTCCAGTCATGGGGCCTGAACTCTGGGCCTGGGAGCTGTCCCTCAGCTCTTCAGCTCAAGGCTAGCACTCTACTACTTGAGCCACAGCACCACTTCCTGCTTTTTTCTTTTTGCTTATGTGGTATTGAGGAATCGAACACAGGGCCTCAGGCATGCAAGGCAAGCGCTCTACCACTGAGCCACCTTCCCAGCCCCCTGAGCTTTTTTTTTTTTGCTCTAGGCTAGCACTCTTTTTCATGAGCCCCACAGTGCCATTTCTGGCTTTTTCCCTGTATGTGGTACTGAGGAATCGAACTCAGGGCTTCATGCATGCTAGGCAAGCACTCTACCACTAAGCCACATTCTCAGCCCACAGATTGAATTTTGAGCCTGATTTATGCTATAAAAGCACTTTTTTTTGTTTTTTTTTTTGGTCCGGTCGTGGGGCCTGAACTCTGGGCCTGGGCGCTGTCCCTCAGCTCTTCAGCTCAAGGCTAGCACTCTACCACTTGAGCCATAGCACCATTTCCGGCTTTTTTCTTTTTGCTTATGTGATGTTGAGGAATCAAACCCAGGGCCTCATGCATGCAAGGCAAGCGCTCTACCACTGAGCCAACCTTCCCAGCCCCATAAAAGCATTTTTATATCCTGAGTTACATTCCTTCCTTCTTTTCTTCCCTTTCCCCCCTTCCTTTCCTCCCTTCATGAAATGGTACTTTGAATGTGAGTTGACACTGAGTTACCTGTACGTATTCTTTTCTTTCTAATTCATACCTTCATCCTTTCACTCTTAATTTCAGGTGATCATGGAGCTCAGCTTGGCCTCCCTGGGGCTGGTGGAGATGGACTACATGATGACACAGCAGGTGGAGAAGAAGGAGAGAACAGCCCAGATCCCCAACCCCAAGCTGGTCGGAGGACCCGTCGGGAAGCATGCACCTGTCCTTACTGTAAAGACAGTGAAGGAAGGTGAGTTTGGACCCATTTGACTTTTCTATTTTGTATTTAATATTTTGGCAGTACTAGGGTTTGAACTCAGGACTTCATGTTTGTTGGGTGGGCACTCTGGCACTTGAGCCATACCTTTTGCACTTTTTTCTTCAGTTTATTTTTCAGATAGGATCTCACATTCACATTTTTTCCCAGGCTGGCCTTAAACCCTGATCCTCCTACCTCTGCTTTTCACATAGCTGGAATTACAGACTGTACTGGGTGTGTTTATTTATTTTTTGATAGTACTGGGGTTTGAAGTGAGGGCTTATAGTTTTGAAGGAACTCCTGATTTCAATCAAGGTGTGATTTAATTTCTACTGCTTTTTTCCTTCTTTGCTAATATGTGCTGTTAATCAGAAAGCTAGATGGTGGTAGGGTTATGGACCTGTAATTATAGGTACTTACAGTTCTGCAGAATGATTATGGTTCAAGTGCAAGACCCTATCTGAAAAAAAGCAAAAGAACAGCCAGGCGCCGGTGGCTCTTGCCTGTAATCCTAGCTACTCAGGAGGCTGAGATGGAAGGATCACAGTTCAAAGCCAGCCCGGGCAGGAAAGTCCGTGAGACTCTTATCTCCAATAAACCACTAGAAAACCGGAAGTGGTGCTGTGCCTCAGACAGTAGAGTGCTTGCATTGAGCTGAAGAGCACAGGGACAGTGCCCAAGCCCAGAGTTCAAGCCCCACGGCCCACCAAAAAAACAAAAAGAGAGAGAGAGAGAGGCCCCTGAGTTCAAGCCTTAGCCTCCCCCTAAAAACAAAAAACAGTCTGGGGCCTAAACTCAGGGCCTGGGTGTTATCCCTAAGCTTCCAACTTTTTCTGTTTATGTGGTACTGAGGATTCAAATCCAGGTCTTCATGCATTCTAGGCAAGCACTCTTCACTAAGCCACATTCCCAGCTCCCCAAAATTCCCTCTTGGGATCTCCCCAATACCCACTAAGGGATCACACATGGAATAAACTGGTTTGACTAATATATTGCGGAGCTGATTCTTAAGAGTAATTTGGGACCTGCTTCTGCATAAGAAAAGAAACAGAAAAATGGGTATACCTTGCTCCTTTGTTGTACTCTTATCCCCCCCCCCCCCCCCCCCCCCACCCCTCCTCATCAGACATAGGGCTTAGGGCTTAAACTCAGGGCCTGGGCACTGTCCATGAGCTCTTTGGACTTTCCTGTCCAGCTGGCTTTGAACTGTGATTCTCAGACCTCAGCTTCCTGAGTAGGATTATAGATGTGAGCCACCTTCCTGTCTTCTTCCCTCTCCTTCATGACAGGGTCATCTTCTATTACCTAAGCTGGCTTCAAACTCCTGGATTTAATCAGTCCTCTTGATTCAGCTTGCTGAATACCTGGGACTACATACAGTATCACCACATGCCTATAGTCTAACCTTTATCTAGTACATCCTCCTTTTCCCCTCAAGTCACTGATACTGCCTCATCTCTTCAACTTTTATTCTTTGCTATTTGGTTCTTCACCTCTAATCCAAAAGCTAGGTTCTATAACTTGCCTTCTCTACCAAGTACTTAAATGGACAGTTTTTGTTCATTAAGTCCCTAACCAAAAATATCACTATATCATAGTATTTTCTGTGGGAAATGCTTAGATTGAGACTTCTGGAAAGATACAAAAAAATACCTCCAAGCTGGACGCCTGTGGCTCTTGCCTGTAATCCTAGCTACTCAGGAGGCTGAGATTTAAGGATCACATTTCAAGGGATCACATTACTGCCCAGGCATGTAAGTCCATGAGACTCTTATCTCCGAATAATCACCAGAAAACCGAAGTGGTGCTGTGGCTCAAGTGGTAGAGCACTAACCTTGAGCTGAAGATCACAGAGACAATGCCCAAGTCCAGACTCCACAACTGACAAAAACAAAAAACAAAAAAAAAATAAGCCCGGCGCCAGTGGCTCATGCCTGTAATCCTAGCTACTCAGGGGGCTGAGATCTGAGGATAGTGGTTCAGAGCCAACCCAGGCAGGAAAATCTGTAAGACTTTTGTCTCCAGTTAACCACCAAAAAACTTGTGATGAGTTGACGAGTTCAGAGACAGTGCCAGGCCGAGTTCAAGTCCCACGACTGACAAAACACACACAGCCTGGCTACTCAGGAGGTTGAGATCTGAGGATTGTGGTTTGAAGTCAGCCTGGCCAGGAGAGTCAGTGAGACTTTTTTTTTGGTCTAGTCGTGGGGTCTGAACTCTGGGCCTGGGTGCCGTCCCTCAGCTCTTCAGCTCAAGGCTAGCGCTCTACCACTTGAGCCATAGTGCCACTTCCGGCTTTTTTCATTTTGCTTATGTGGTGCTGAGGAATCAAACCCAGGGCCTCAGGCATGCAAGGCAAGCACTCTACCACTGGGCCACCTTCCCAGCCCTCAGTGAGACTCTTAACAAGCCAATAAACTACTCATAAAAAGCCAGAAGTGAGCCTGGCACAGGTGCTTCATGCTTGTAATCCTAGCTACTCAGGAGGCTGAGATCTGAGGATCACTGTTCAAAGCCTGCCTGGGTAGGAAAGTCCATGAGACTCTTATCTCCAGAAAACCACCAGAAAAACCAGAAGTGGTGCTGTGGCTCAAGTGGTAGAGCACTAGCCTTGAGCAAAAGAGGCTTATGGAAAGAACTCAGGCTCTGAGAGCAAGCCCCAGAACCCAGCACGAACATACGCACAAACATACATATATATACAACCTTTGAAACTTATGAAGGAATGGGAGAGCTGAAAAGATAGTATAAGGAAGACCTTCAACTTGAGTTTGGGCAATTAAGAATTAGAATCACTTCAGATGTAGTGGCTGAATCCTATAATTCTAGCTACTTGGGAAGTGGCAATTGGGGGTATCAGTGACCCCACCTCAGCTGATTGCTTGGTACCATGGCCTGGATGGGGACAGACATGGGGAAGCACAAGTAAGAGGACCGAAATCAAGCCCAAGCATAAAGTGAGACCCTGTCTTGTAAAATTGGAGCCTGAGATATAGCTCAAGGGGTAGAGTACCTGTCCGATCATGAGAGCTATATTCAATCTTTAGTACCACTATAAAAATAAACATAAGCCGGATCCCAGAGTTCTGTGTGGTGCCGGCCCTTCCCCTCAGCAGCCATTGGAGAATAGCAGCCATGGCTCAGTGCTACCCCATGGCTGTGGGCCTCAACAAGGGCCACAAAGTCACCAAGAACGTGAACAAGCCAAGACACAGCTGCCACCTAGGTGCCTCACCAAGCATACCAAGTTTGTGCGGGACATGATCTGAGAGGTGTGCAGCTTTGCCCTGAATGAGCTGTGCTCCTTGGAGCTGCTCAAGGTATCCAAGGACAAGCAGGCACTCAAGTTCATCAAGAAAAGGGTGGGGACGCACATCTGGGCCAAGAGGAAGCAGGAATTGCTGAATAGCATGCTGGCCCCCATGAGGAAGGCCACTGCCAGGAACGACTGAGACCCCGCCACCACCCCTCCATCTCCCCGCCCCAAACCTCTGCTCCCCACCAAAAAAAAATTGTAAAAACAAAACAAATATAAGCCAGGCACAAGTGGCTCACACTGTAATCCTAGCTACTCAGGAACCTGAGATCTGAGAATCATGCTTCAAAGCCAGCCGAGGCAGGGCAGTGAAGTCGATGAGACTCTTTATCTCCAATAAACCACTAGAAAACCGGAAGTGGCAGGCACTGTGGTTCAAGCGGTAGAGTGCTCGTCTCGAGCTGAAGAGCTGAGGGGCAGCACCCAGGCCCAGAGTTAAAGCCCCATGACCAACAAAATAAAAATAAACATAAGATGGGTGTCAGTGGCTTGCCCCGGTAATCCTTGCTACCTAGAAGGCTAAGATCTAAGGATAATGATTTGAAGGCAGCCCAAGCAGGAAAATGTGAAAATCTGATCTCCAGTTAACCACCAAAAACCTGGAAGCTGGGCTGGCTTAGTGATAAAGTGTTTGCCTGGCATGCATGAAGCCCTGGGTTTGATTCCTCAGTACCACATAAACAGAAAGGGCCAGGGCTGGGAAGGTGGCTCAGTGGTAGAGCGCTTGCCTTGCATGCCTGAGGCCCTGGGTTCGATTCTTCAGCACCACATAAGCAAAAAGAAAAAAGCCGGAAGTGGCGCTGTGGCTCAAGTGGTAGAGCGCTAGCCTTGAGCTGAAGAGCTGAGGGACAGCGTCCAAGCCTAGAGTTCAGGCCCCACGACTGGACCCAAAAACAAAAACAAAACAAAACAGAAAGGGCCAGAGGTGATGCTATGGCTCAAGAGTGCTGTCCTTGAGCAAAAGAAGCTGGGGGGGGAGAGGAGGCAAGGGGGGCAGGGAGGATGGGAAGGGGAAACAAAGGATGAGGCTACAATGCTTGATAAGAAATGTACTCATTATCTTGCCCATGTAATTGTAACTCCTCTGTACAGTATTTTCACAATAAAAAAAAAAAAGCTCAGGGACAGTGCATAGGCCCTGAGTTCAAACCCCACAACTGGCAAAAAAAAAGTTAAAATAAATGAATAAAGAATAAATTAGAAGTTTGTGTTAGTTTTTGGTAGAATGTATAATCCCTGTTGATCCTTTCGGTTAATTTCTGTTCCAGTGTGGTGGTAAATAATTGTTTTTTTACTTTCAGGGGCTCTGGGGATCCTGGCAAAAAGAAACAACACATTTGCCATATCCAAGGCTGTGGCAAAGTATATGGCAAGACTTCACACCTACGGGCACACTTGCGCTGGCATACAGGCGAGAGGCCATTTATGTGTACCTGGTCATACTGTGGGAAACGCTTTACACGTTCAGATGAGCTACAGAGACACAAACGAACACACACAGGTGAGCTAGAGTCTAGGGAAGAGAGAAATGGTTAAAAACCAGAATGAAAAGAGAAAATGTGCCTGGATTGATTCATGGTTGAGAATGAATATGTGGGTCATAAATGGAATTGAAGTTAATTTGGAAATTTTGAAGGAAGGAGCTTCAGTGATGTTTTTAAAAGAGAGGGACACTAGTCTAATTGTTTTTCTTAGTCTTTGCTTCTCTGCTTTTCTGCTAATTTCTGTCTTTGCTACTGAATATTTCTTTTTGTCTTGAGACTGGGACTCAAACTTGGTATCTGATGCTTTTGCTTGTTGGCCAATGCTCTTGTTCTTATCCTAATGCTCTTGTTCTTATCACCACCTAAAACTGGCCTTATTTGAAGGTGATGAATTGGTCTCGTTTACTACCAAGGAACTGGTAGTCAGCTTAACATTTTTCTCTTCCTTTATTTAGGTGAGAAGAAATTTGCCTGCCCTGAGTGTCCTAAGCGCTTCATGAGAAGTGATCACCTGTCAAAGCATATCAAGACTCATCAGAATAAGAAGGGAGGCCCAGGTGTAGCCCTGAGTGTGGGCACTTTGCCCCTGGACAGTGGGGCAGGTTCAGAAGGCAGCGGCACTGCCACCCCTTCAGCCCTTATTGCAACCAATATGGTAGCCATGGAGGCCATCTGTCCAGAGGGTATTGCCCGTCTTGCCAACAGTGGTATCAACGTTATGCAGGTGGCGGATCTGCAGTCTATAAATATCAGTGGCAATGGCTTCTGAGATTAGACATCTGCATCCAGGGCCAGGGACACATGGGCCAATACCCATCAATCCCCCGGATGCAAGATATGGGTCCAAAAGACATGTGGGAGAGAGAGCCATGAGGCATTAAAATGCATGGCGGGAAGGATTGGGGGAGGGATACAAGAGAAGTGATGGGGGTCCTAGTACCCACATATATCATCAGTGCCTCCTTGAAAGTGGGAAACATAACTGAAAATTCTGTTGGTGCCACCCTTTGATGAGCATTTGTTTGATCCCAGTTTCTTCTTACACTTCTTACCCCAGCCTCCCTCCCTGCGTTTCCCCTTCTCAGCTCTCCCATGATGGATTTCCCCCCCTTTCCTAAAGCCATCATGCCTTGATAAATATATATGATCACTGAAATACTTTTTAACAAAAACAGATTCTATATTATATATATATAAATATATAAAGATATATAGAAATGCATTCACAGGGGTTGGCTGGGAGGAGGAAGGAGACCGTTCTGTGACCAAAATACCTTGGTCATTTTTTTTTTATATATATATATATATTGCCTTATTTCCCTATGGCTGAGCCTTGTTGTGACACATCAAGCTTTTCTGTAGATGTTGTCTTGGCTTCCCACCAGAGTGAGCATTCATATGCTCTGCTTTTAGTTTATATATACATACATAATGTGTTTTCTTTCTTAATTTTGTCTTTATTTGGGGATCAGCTTCTTGCACTCCTTTCCTGACTCAATCCCTCTGTTTCCCCTTCTCTTACCTGATCACTTCATGTTTTGGTTTTGAATAGTGATCTCTGGACTAGGCACTTCTGTCAATCTTTTAAAGGCCTTAGCCCCAACAGCAGAATCTTGAAACCCACCCAGTCTGATGCTTGAGGTAGCTGTGAAGGGAGTGTGCAAATTATTGCTGACGCAGGCACCTTCTTTGTGCTGGAGAGTCAAAAAAAAAAAAAAATCTCCCTTTATTAGTTGGCTCTAAGCATCAGGAATCACAGGTTTTTCTGTGGAATTGCATAAAAGTCTGTTTGAAGGAAATAGTCCGAGATTAGTTTGTATGAACTATCAAAGAGAAAAAAGTCATGTAATAGGCAAAGACTTCAGCAAGGGAAGAGACGTGTTCAGAAGAGGAAGTGACACATAATAGTAGGGTTTAGGAAGTGGAACATTTGGACTTTAGTACCATTGATTTCCAAGGAAACTCTAAGCCTTGATATATGGGCTTCTGAGTTCACATTTTGAAAGAAGGTATACTCCCTCTTTTGAACATCTCTGGTAGTTTCTTTCCCAGTATGTTTAGGAGTTTTAGCCAATAAATTTAGTCTGGGTTTCCATTCTGCAGAATTTGAGGGCATATGCCAGTGGCAAGACAGTGGTTCTGATGATTCTCTCCCCCCCCTCTCCCCCTTAACTCTTACGTACTTGGATAGATCTTAAAGGAAAAGGAAGCGCAGGATCATGAGAATGATAGCCCAGAACAAAAAGAAATCTTGTCTTACCACTGGTTTATCAGAAAGATTAGGAGATAGCATCCTGCTTTCTCCATGGCCTGATTCCAGAAGATACTGACCTAGAAATTATAGCGGCAGGGAATTCAGTGCATTTGGCACTGAGATTTAAACTCAACCAGAATTGTCCTCAAGGACCAGCCATTAAAGCATTGTCTCTCTTGACCTTGTGGTATCTTGTCAGAGAGCTTTTCACTGTGAGGAAGTATGGAAATGGCTGTGTGTATGTGTGTAATCTGCTAGGTTGGGGATAGGTTTTCTGTTAGTCCATATTAAAAGACCTGCAATAAAAAAAATTACCCTGATCTGATAGAAAAAGTGAAGTATTTGTGTATGAATGTGTGTGTGAATGTATGTTTGTGCCTGTATATATCTACATACAGATGAGAAATTATATTTGAAATTGTTGGAAAATAAATCAAATTCAGATCAAAATGCCTTTCAGGCCCATTACCTAGAAATGTATCTTTAAAAACTTGGGTATGTTCCTGAGGTCATTTCTCTGCTTATCCTAAATCAGTTAAAATTATGAGTGGGGGATATTCTATTGCACTTTCTAAAGAAGAATCTATTTTTGTGCTGGAACATGAAACCAACAACCAGATTTATAGCAGAGTCCTTATTCTGTCTTTTTTATCTTTACTACAAATAGATGATGCTGTGATTCTACTATACATTTTATATAAAATCCATCTAAATTAGACTTTGGGTAAATTTGTATTGTTAACCTGAAATATAGCTGTTAGTAATATAAACAATAGTTTATTCCATTCAATTCTTTCTCTGTAGACTCAATTCTGTTGTCAACACTTGGAAACTGTTGTAAGGAACTTTCCCCAAATAACATTAATACTGAAGTAAACGTCATCTATACCCGGCCACCATCACACCCTTTATTCCCACTTAATTCTTCTCACTGAATGGCAGAACTCAGACTCTTGTTTTATGTCTGTAATCATGTACTTTGGCATCTTTTGGAAAAAGAAGCTGGATAACTCAATAGAGTGTGCAGTATTTTGCAAATGCATTTCAAAGAATAGAATCTTCGCCAGTATGAAATTGTTAGATGTTTAGCTAGATAAAGCTGAGGGCTACAAGCTTTTTAGATAGTTATTTGGTGGTGCTTCTCTCTTGGGTGAAAAGCTGCTGATTTACCCTCTGTACCCTCTTCATTAATATTACCATAAGTGAATTTACACTCTATTCACTTATTTCCTTTTCAGCAAGGATGCTCCAGATCCAGTATCTTGTTTGGCCCCTAAAATGGAAGTAACTTCTGTTTCTGTCTTCCAGCAACAGTGGTCACCTCATTTTTTTCCATAGGGACTTAATTGGTGACATTCCCTGACTCAGGAGCTCATTATAGAAAATCTCCTTTCCCTGAACTTAGTTTCACTGAAATTAATGTATCTGACATGCATTTTGACTGAAATTTTTTCATGAGTGTTTAAATTTTTTTTAATGACCAAACATAACAGGGTGGGGAATGATGAGAGGCATAGAATATTCTTCATTCCCTTCTCCTTTCAGCTTTCCCATTCATGTTCATTTGCATATTATTTGACTATCTCACTTTTTACCCAGAGGAAATAACAACTCACACCATCTTCCTTTCAGGGACCTTCTAGCTGGCAATCTGTGGGTGCTATACAGAATGCAATTTAGTGGATATTTCTTAGTCTGGTTTTAGAATAAGTAGAACTTTAAATCCCAAAAAATCTAGGCTGAAGTATAGGGTGAAGATTATGATTGTGGAGGGTTAGAGACAAAAGCTGTAAATTACTATGGCTGATTTATTTCTACTATATACATATATATATATTTTTTGCTTTTGTATATTCCTATATAGGGACTAAGCATTGTATTTTTTTAACAAATCTGAGAAAGCACTATGACTGCAGGTGTTTGACTTTCAGAATATATTTTGTATTGTTAATACCTTCACATTGTATGAATACTGGAAGCTGCAGATCTTTGCTAGACGCAATAAATGTATATACTTTTTAAGGGGTTCTTTTTGGGGTTCTAATCAGGCCCCTGTTATGCTTTGTGGGATTTCTGGTGCTACATGATTAAAGTTTTCATTCAATTGTAAGTACCCTGATGCCCTTTGGACATTGTGATCAGATTGTAGATCAGGTACCAAGGAAATGGGGACAATTAGCTGCCTCAGAGTAAGGGCCCCTTTGCCTAGGTCTCCTTCCCCTTAGACAAAAGCTGGGTAGACTCAGGTTGGGAGGAGAAACATGAAATCTCATAGTTTAATCTTCCCTTAGAAGAGAGCCAGTAACTTGTACGAGGATGAAAGGTGGTAGCAGAAGCTTTGGGGAAAGAGGAGGATATGGCACTTCTCCAACCCCGGAAAACATTGCTTTTGAAAATTGCTGATAAAATATGGGCAGGTTATTACTTTAGTTTGGGAGACTGTTCTCTCTGGTGCCTCTCTTGGCTCTTTTCCGGGGATACAGACCTCTTCTAGGAGGATGAGAGACCAGCTTTGAGGTTGACCTGTTTCTTTTCTTTGTCTGCCTTCCTTAAGTACCATCCCCCAAGAAGACATTAAGCAGCCTTAAGCTTAAATTCCTACTCCCTCTTCCAGACTTGGCTCACTTGCCTTAGACTGAAGACTGGAAAAGGAAAAGAAGAGGAGTCCTTGGCTTTGTTCCTCCCCTAAATTCTTTTCCACTCTGACTTTCCTAAGCCCAAAGAGATTTCCCCACAACACAAGAGAAAAATGGATCCTTTTTTCTTGTTTGCCCCTTATTATAAACCAGCCCAACCTTCTTCCTTATCTTGGTTAAGAGTTTGCTTCCCTTAGTCGAAGCTCAGTAAAAGAGCCCAACTAACAGGATTAGGGTGGGTTTGTAAATAATGAGAATTTAGTATGTCCTTTGGGTATCAAAGGGTATTACCTTCAGGAATCACAACTGTGCCTTCTCTACAGGGGCAGGGACCCCATCTATTCAGCTATTTTAGTAACATCTCTTGAACAATGTGGGTAAGGGCAGCTCTTCATATCTCTGATTATCCTTTTTTGCCCAGTGACATCCCATAACCCTTATCTAAAGTCTAGAACACAAAGACTTTGGGAAAAATATGCTGAGCTGGGCCTGGGGAGACCCATTCTACACATACCTATGGCAGCTGCCCTAGGACCTTGCTCCTCCTGCCTAAGTCCATCACCCTCCTGGGACTCTGGGGAGTAGTGCTCCAATCTCTGGTGCCTAGAACAAGTCTCTTTCTTAACACTGGCAATAACCAGTCCCCATACTTCTGTTGCCTTTAAGCCTCTTAATAATCTCATACTGTGCTTGTTGATTCCAATCTATCACCAGGGCTGTATGGGTAAATACTTTTTAGAAGCTATTCCATCTTGCTCTTTTTCCCCCTTTGTGTGTGTGTGTGTGTGAGAGAGAGAGAGAGAGAGAGAGAGAAATGCTAATCTCTTGTCTTTCAGTTTATTCCTGCTCCTTTTGTGTCTTCCTTTCTTGTTTCCTTCCTTTTGTCTCTGGGTATTTGGGGGCTCTTTTTCTTTTTCTCTCTCTTTTTTTTTTGCCTTTTGTACAAAGATTAGTTTCAATGTAGTTTGTAGCTTCTTTGTAAACCAATTAAAAAAGTTTTTTTAATAAAATGCTGTCTCTGGTGTATTGAGAGGGTTGGGAAAAGGGTGTATGAATAATTATAATGTCATATACTAACCTAACAAAGATTTACAGTCATACACTATTGTCCTCCTATATATGTTGATCAGTATAGTTAATTCTACGCTCTGGTCCCAGTAAAATTTCATAATCAGATCGGTGTGTCAGTGTGAAGGATTAAGAGCTGAGGTATAGCTCAATGATAGAACCACTGGCCTAACATGTATAAAACTCTGAATTTTATCCCCCAACACTCCCAAAAGAAAAAAGGCTGAGGAAGAATAGAGGCAACCCCAACCAATTCCTTTATTTTTTAGGAGACAGTCTCATAACTGTGTAGTCCGGGCTGGCTGTGAACTCAATCCTGCCACCTCATCCTGAGTGCTGAGGTTACATTTTGTTGTGGGGCTTGGACTCAGGGCCTGGGTGCTGTCCCTGAGCTTTTTACTCAGCCCTCTACCACTTCAAGCCACAGTGCCACTAAGGGTTTTCTGGTGGTTAATTGGAAATAAGAGTCTCCAGGGACTTTCCTGCCTGGGCTGGCTTTGAACCACAATCCTCAGATAAAAGCTCTTGAGTAGCTAGGATTAAAGGTTGTGAGCTGGGCAGGGAAGATGGCTCAGTGGTAAAATGCTTGCCTAGCAATCATATAACTGAGCCACCTTCCCAGCCCAGTCACTTCCAGTTTTTGAGGGATTTAATTGAAGATGAGAGTCTCATGAGGACTTTTCTGCCCTGGCTGGCTTCGAACCACAATCCGCAGATCTCAATATTCTGAGTAGCTAGGATTACAGGTATGAGCCACCAGCACCTGGCTAAGAGTGTATTTCTTTTTGGATAATGTAACCCTTTCCCCACTTCTGGCTTTTTGCTGATTAACTAAATATTAGAGTCTCAGATTTTTCACCTGGCTGGCTTTGAGCCATGATCCTCAGACCTCCTGAGTAACTAGGATCTGAGTAGCTAGGATCACAAGTGTGAACCACTGGTACCTGGCTGAAATAACCTTTTCTGGACTGGAATCTAATACATAAATTACTGAGCCACGGCTGACTAGAATCAGGAGATCCTATGAAAAGTCATTGTAGGGCTGGGAAGGTGGCTCAGTGGTAGAGAGCTTGCCTTACATGCATGAGACCCTGGGTTCGATTCCTCAGCACCACATAAGCAGAAAAAAAAAGCCGGAAGTGGTGCTGTGGCTCAAGTAGTAGAGCGCTAGCCTTGAGCTGAAGAACTGAGGGACAGCACCCAGGCCCAGAGTTCAGGCCCATGACCAGACCAAAAAAAGAAAAGTCATTGTATATGTGGAATCCAGGTAGCCTTTGCTATAGTTCTTCAGGAATTTACTAATCCTTCAACTCTCAGAATATTACCCTTTCTATCACAATCAGATTTCTTTTTTTGTTTTGTTTTTGTCAGTTGTGGGACCTGAACTCTGAGCCTGAACATTGTCCCTCAGCTTTTCAGCTCAAGGCTAGCCCTCTACCACTTAAGCCACAGCGCCACTTCTGGCTTTTTCTGCTTCTGTGGTGTTGAGGAATTGAACCCAGGGCCTCATGCATGCAAGGCAAGCGCTCTACCACTGAACCACCTTCCCAGCTCCACCATCAGATTTCTAAACCTAACTATCTAGAACAAAACAAGCAATTCAGCCGGACATCAGTGGCTCATGCCTGTAATCCTAGCTACTCGGAAGGCTGAGATCTGAGGATCACAGTCCAAAGTCAGTCCGGGCTGGAAACTCTGAGACACTCTTATCTCCAATAAACCACTCAGAAAACCAGAAGTGGCCCTGAGGCTCAGTGGTAGAGCGCTATCCTTGAGTTGAAGAACAGAGGGATAGTGCCCAGGCCCAGAGTTCAAGCCCCATGACCAACAAAAAACAAGCAATTCTAAACTTGTCTAGAGCAATCTATCAGTCTGGCTGGATTCTTTCTGTCTTAGTAATTACCAAAGGCTTTTGCTGAATAGACAGTCTTTTTGCCATATCCTTACCCCTGTTCCCAGTCTGCAGGAGACAATCTCTTGAGAAATTCCAGACAAAAGAAGCTTTTTGATCTTTAACTGCTTCCCTCCCCCAGCTTATCTGATTTGGGAGTTAGTGAAGGAAGGTATGTGGAGCTGAGCACAAGATTCTAGCTTTTGCTCTCATCTCTTTTCATGTAGGCTTTCCCCAGGAGAAAGGCTCCAACATCAGAGTCAGTATTGAGATCCTCATTCTTGGTCTAAGCCAGATCATTCTGAGATGTCCTTTCTAGGGGCAACAAAAAGCCAGGAAAACAAGGAACCAGTCCCCTCTGACTCTTAATTTTATTTTATTTTATTTGGCCATGGGGCTTGAACTTAGGCCTGGGTGTTGTCCCTGAGCTCTTTTACTCAAGGCTAGTGCTCTACCACTTTGAGCCACAGCCCCACTTCCAGTTTTCTAGTAGTTAATTGAAAATAAAGACAGGGACTTTCCTGCCTGAGTTAGTTTCTAACCGTAATTCTCAGATCTCAGCCTCCTGAGTAGCTAGGATTATAGGCATGAGCTACCAGCACCTGGATTGACTTTTAATTCTTTTGGGAGCCAGATGCTCAGAAATGTGGAAATGATTACCTATACTGTTCATTTTACTCAGGAAGAGTCTGAAGGAGTTGGGCTTCCATTTCTATTGTAACACAACCCATAGACCTTATATAAGCACCTCTATATACACCCTGTATCCTCTCTTCATATTTTATAGTCTTGCACCTTAACACATAACTAGAGGTGAACTATGTACATCAGTCATCAAGGAGGCCTTTTGGGCCTTTTTCCTACAGTTTCTCCTATGTCTGCCGACCTCTGGTGGTGACAATATGAACTGTAAGTGACCTGCTGGCAAATAATGCTGAAGATTTTTTTCTCAGCAATCCAAGGTCAGATATTATTTATATATTCAGTGGAGGTATTTTTTGTTTAATTTTACATTTTTTAGGCAGCATTGTACGATCCATAGATCAGAGCCTAGGCTTTGGAGTCAGACTTGCCTAGGTTCTGGATCCAGCTGTTCTATTTCCTAGCAGGGTGATTTTGGGTAATTTACCTAAGGTGAATTTTTATATATATAAAGGAGTTAATGAAGCTGGGCTTTGGTGGCTCACACCTGTAATCCTAGCTACTCCGAGATCTGAGGATCACAGTTCAAAGCCAGCCCAGGCAGGAAAGTCTGAGACTCCCCCCCCCCCCCCGCCCCCCATCATGAGGCCTGAACTCTGGGCCTGGACGCTGTGCCTCAGCTATTCAACTCAAGGCTAGTGCTCTACCACTTGAACCACAGCGTCACTTCCGGCTTTTTCTACTTATGTGGTACTGTGGTTATGAAGTGCTTGCAAGGCAAGCACTCTACCACTGAGCCACCTTCCCACCCTCTGTGAGACTCTTGATCTCCAGTTAACCACCAGAAAGTGGGAAGTGGCACTGTGGCTCAAGTGCTAGAGAGCTGAAGAGCTGAGGGACAGCACCCAGGATCAGAGTTCAAGCCCCATGACTAACAAAAATAAAAATAATAAAAAAATGAATATCAACAGTAAAATGAACATCTCAATGGGAAAGTTAAATAGTTGTAAAGTTCAAGTCTTGGCTGTGCTCTATCACAGTAGGTATTAAATAAAAAGTTATATCTTCAATGGGCTGGGAATGTGGCTTAGTGGTACAGTACTTGTCTAGCATGCATGAAGCCCTGAGTTCAATTCCTCAGTACCACATAAAGAGAGAAAGCCAGGAGTGGCACTGTGGCTCAAGTGGTAGAGTGCTAGCCTTAACCAAAAGGAGCAGACAATGCCCGGCCCTGAGTTCAAGCAGCAGGACTGGCCAAAAAAAAAAGAAAAAGTTATATCCTTAATAATGGTTTGGGAGCCAGGCGCTGGTGGCTCACGCCTGTAATCCTAGCTACTCAGGAGGCTGAGATCTGAGGATCGCGGTTCAAAGCCAGCCCGGGCAGGAAAGACCGTGAGACTCCTATCTCCAATAAACCACCAGAAAACCGGAAGTGGCGCTGTAGCTCAAGTGGTAGAGTGCTCGCCTTGAGCTGAAGAGCTGAGGGACAGTGCCCAGGCCCAGAGTTCAAGCCCCACGACCGACAAAAAAAAAAAAATAATAATAATGGTTTGGGGTGTGTGTGTGTGTGTGTGTGTGTGATCAAGTGAATATTGTTTTGTTTGTGGTGCTAGAGCTGTAGAAGCCAGGGATTAGGCACACATTCAGCAAATTTCCTATTGCTGAGCTGGTTTTTGGTTTTTGGTTTTGGTTTTTGGTTCCAGTCTTGTAGCATGGGTAACCCGTGAGCTTTTTTGCTCAAGGCCAATCAATGCTTGATCATCACTTGAGCCACATCTCCACTTCTGGCTTTTTTGATGCTTAATTGGAGGTAAGAGTCTCACAGAGTTTTCTGTCCAGACTGGTTTCCAACTGTGATTCTCAGATCTCAGCCTCATGAGTAAGCAGGATTATAGGCATGAGCCATCATCACCTGGCCACTTTCTGATTTTTTTTTGGGGGGGGGCGTTGGTCATGGAGTTTGAACTCTGGGCCTCGGTGCTGTCCCTCAATTCTTCAGCTCAAGGCTAGCACTCTCCCACGTGAGCCAGTTTTCTGGTGGTGAATTGAAAATAAGAGTCTCATGGAATTTCCTGCCTGGGCTGGCTTTGAACTGTGATCCTCAGATCTCAGCCTCCTGAGTAGCTAGGATTCCAGGGGTGAGCCACCAGTGCCTAGATTCACTTTCTGATTTTTTATTTTTATTTTATTTTTTTTTGGTAGGTCGTGGGGCCTGAACTCGGGGCCTGGGCACTGTCCCTCAGCTCTTCAGCTCAAGGCTAGCGCTCTACTACTTGAGCCACAGTGCCACTTCCAGCCTTTTCTGCTTATGTGGTGCTGAGGAATCGAACCCAGGGCCTCATGCATGCAAGGCAAGCGCTCTACCACTGAGCCACCTTCCCAGCCCCACTTTCTGATTCTTGAGTTTGGAAGATAATGTCAGGGCTGGGAATGTGGCATGAAGCCCTGGGTTTGATTCCTTATTACCACATAAAGAGAAAAAGCCTGAAGTGGTTCTGTGGCTCAAGTTGATAGAGTGCAAGCTTTGAGCAAAAGAAGCTCAGGATGGAGCTGGAAAGGTGGCTCAGTTGTAGAGTGCTTGCCTTGCATGCATGAGGCCCTGGGTTCAATTCCTCAGCACCACATAAGCAAAAAGAAAAAAGCTGGAAGTGGCGCTGTGGCTCAAGTGGTAGAGCACTAGCCTTGAGCTGAAGAGCTGAGGGACAGTACTCAGGCCCAGAGTTCAAGCCCCACAACCGGATTCCCCCCCCCCCCCAAAAAAAAAGAAGCTCAGGAACAGTGCCCAGGCCCTGAGTTCAAGCCCTAGGACTGACAAAAAAGAAAGAAAATTAAGTCAATTCTACTATGTGCTATGAAAATCTTCCCCTGGCCAGCAAGGTACAGATTTGAACCTTATTATATAGGTTAGCAGGGATGCTGGGCAGAGCTGAATGGTTCTAAGCAAAAGCTCACTTTGAGTTTACAGGCTGAGAAAGTCTGACAGGATCCATCCAGCACCTTCTTCCAAGGGCAGCAGATGGCAGAGATTTGAAATGAGGTATCACAGGATTCTTAGCTGAACCTCCAAGGCCCTCTCTGCTTGGAGAAAAGAGGAGGTGACTGAAGAGAGGAGGATATGAGCTTGGTTCTCTGCTCCGCCCTTTCTTTCCCTGTTTTCCTTACACCCACCCTCTCCCCCACAGCAGACTTCTCCCCCACAGACATTAGAATAGGACAGAAGGGGCGGAGTTGGCGTTGGGGACTGAGGGCTTGGGAGCCCCACAGTGCCCTGTATCTGTGAGAAGCGTTGGTAGGGGCAGCTGGGCAGCTTTATGCTGCCCTTCTTGTGCTGCTACCCTACAGCAGGATGTTGGGAACACTGGGGCTTTGGGCCTTGCTTCCTGCAGCTGCACAAGGTAAGTGTCTACAGAGAGGAGCAGGGCCTTTCCACTCACCCAGCGAAGGAAAGGGGCTTAGGAAGATGAGTGGGCTGGCTGAGAGTGAAGTTGAAGGGTAGAGCTAAGGGTAGAGCTATGTCCCCATGGTGGGGGGGTCACATCCTAAACCTCTGTCCATCCGATTTTCCTCTGTCTCTGCTCTACTGAGCCAAGGACAGGAAAATCATGTTTGGTCTATTCACTTGGCTACTGTTTTGCTTCTGCATTAACTTTGCTCTTGAATCTTTCTCTTCCCCCATCCTTGGTCTCAGCACCTCCAAACAGGCGGACCTGTGTGTTCTTTGAAGCCCCTGGAGTGCAAGGAAGTGCAAAAATGCTGGGGGAACTGCTAGATGAAGGACCAGGGCCCCCCAGGGGTATCCGCTGCCTCTTTAGCCACTGCTGCTTTGGAATCTGGAACCTGACCCAAGGCCGGGCACAGGTGGAGATGCAAGGTGAATGGCAAAGTCGATGGCAGGTGATCCCTAAGATGGGACACAGACACATCCTAGGGTGTGGGAGGTTGCCAAGGGGTAAGGGAAGAAATGGAATTTGTAGAAAGAATATGTGGTGCCTTTGATAGAGAAGAAAGTTACCTCTCCTTCCTCAAGCTCCATTGTGGTCTCACCTTTGCTTTCCCTTTTTCTCCTTTTCCCTTAATCTCATCAGGATGCCAAGATAGTGATGAGGCAGGCTGTGTGTCCTTCCATTGTGACCCCAGCCCCCGTGCCCAGCCTAGCCCTGGTTCCACTCTCTTCACCTGCTCCTGTGGCACTGACTTCTGCAATGCCAATTACAGTCATCTGCCTCTTCCAGAGAGCCTGGGGGCTGCTGGCCCTGAGGGGCCCCAGGCTGTACCAGGTAGCCACCCTCTGGGGATACTGGAGTCTAGTGGGGGATGGGGCCCAGGTTATGAGAAGAGGTAGAATTGGGGCCAGTTCTTACCCTGCCTCCGCCTCAAGCTTTCCTCTGCCTGGCCTTGGGGAGCTGGTTTCCCTGGTGACCAGGAGATAAGGGGGCTTGTGATCAGGATGGGGGTGGGTTGAAAAGCAAGTTTTCCATGGAGGGGAGAGATTCAGAGAGCAATTTGGGGGCAAGGCTCACCTGTTGCTATCATTTTTTTTTGCCTTGATGTCTAGGTGAGTCCATTTGGATAGCACTGGTGCTGCTGGCGCTGTTCCTCTTGCTGACACTGGGCAGCATTATTCTTGGTACTAACCTCCTCCATTCCTCCCTCTATCAAGACCCAAAGCTCTGATCCCTTCTCCAGGCACCCCTGATCTGGTCCTAGGATCTCTATAGCCTTGCATTACTTTGTTCAAAGTTCTCTTCCCACAAAGTCCCCTGCCCTGTCTCCATGCCTGGGCACCCTGACCATTAAGTTCTTCTTTGCCATAGTGCTGCTACAGAGAAAGGCCTGCAGAGCGCACGGGAGGCCAGTGCCAGAGCCAGATTCAGACAGAGACTGGAATGAGCAGTTGCCAGAGCTGCGGGAGCTGTGCTTTTCCCAGGTGCCCCAGGGAGGGAACAAGGGAGGGGATCCTCTGGGCATTCCTGGAGGTTCTGCTGAGGAGGAAACCTGGCCTTGGTGCACTTAGAGACTGGCACCCAGCACAGTGTTCCCACCAGGTAATCCGGGAAGGAGGTCATTCAGTGGTGTGGGCTGGGAAGCTCCAAGGTGAACTGGTAGCCATCAAGGCCTTCCCCCCAAGGGCTATGGCCCAGTTCCAAGCTGAGAAAACGGTGTATGAGCTACCAGGTCTCCGACATGACCACATTGTGCGCTTCATCACTGCTGGCCAGGGAGGTCCTGGCTCCCTGTCCTCTGGGCCATTGCTGGTACTGGAACTGTACCCCAAGGTAGGACTAAGGAATGTATGAATGCAAATGTGTACTATGTTTGTGTGGTGACAGAGGTGGAGGGACTGCATGCCATTGGGACCCTACCCACAATTTTTCTGTTTTAGATTTTTCTGCTGCTAGCTGGTACTCTGCCACTTGCCACACCTTTGGTTCTAGATTTTTTAGTGTGTGTGTGTGTGTGTGTGTGTGTGTGTGTGTGTGTGTGTAAGTCCTGAAGCTTGAACTCAGGGCCTGGGCACGGTATTTTAGCTTTTTTTGCTCAAAGCTAGTGCTTTACCACTTGAGCCATTACTCTACTTTTTTTTTTTTTTTTTTGTGGTTAATTGGAGATAAGAGTCTCATGGACTCTCCTTGCTTAGGCTGGCTTCAAACCGTGATCCTCCGATTTTAGTCTTCTGGGTAGCTAGGATTACAGGTGTGAGCCATTGGTACCTTGCTGCTGCTGCTGCTGCTGCTGCTGCTGCTGCTGCTACTTCTCCTTCTCTTCCTTCTCTTCTTCTTCCTTCTCCTCTAGGAGCTTCATGAGTGCTAGGCAAGCACTCTACCCATGAAATACACCTCCAGTTATAGTTATTTATTTATTTATTTTTGGCGATGAGGTCTCACCATAAGCCCAGGCTAAGCCCTGAACTCCTGAGTTCAAAGTGATCCTCCTGCTGCTACCTCTCAACTAGCTGGAGCAATGTTAATTAATTAATTAATATTTTTGGTGGGTCGTGGATCCTGAACTCTGGGCCTGGGCATTGTCCCTCAGCTCTTCAACTCAAGACTAGTGCTCTACCACTTGAGCCACAGTGCCACTTCTGGCTTTTTCTGCTTATGTGGTGCTGAGGAATCAAACCCAGGACCTCATGCATACAAGACAAGCACTCTACTAATGAGCCACCTTCCCAGCCCCTAATTTATTTATTGCCAGTATTTCTGCCTGTATTTTGTACCTGGAACTTGCTATCATTCTGCCTCAGCCTCCTGAGCGCTAAGATGTGTGGCATCTCTTCTGGCTGGAGTTACTGTTTTTTCCATCACTTTGACTGATGTACACTCTCACTCTTCTCCTGCCTTTTGTTTCAGCCTGTATCTATTAGGATGTCTGCTGAGAAGTTGTGGGGGAAAGTCTGCAAATCATTTGTACTCTCTAGGATGATCAAACAGCTTCAGTGTTATTTTCTTCTCTTCTCTCTGCTTCTCCCCAGGGCTCCTTGTGTCACTACTTGACCCAGCACACAAGTGACTGGGGAAGCTCCCTGCGGATGGCACGATCCCTGGCTCAGGGCTTGGCATTTCTCCATGAAGAGCGCTGGCAAAATGGTAAGTGAGCTGCTTTCAGGGAATCAGGAAAATCAAGAGACACATAGCCATGTGTTGGATTCTTCTTTAGCTTGCAAAAGGAGTATTAGGTCAAAAGTAGAAGGAAAAGCTGGTAGGTCATACTTGTAATTCTAGCTACTTATGTGGCTGAAATCATGGTTCAACGCCAGCCCAGGCAGGAAAGTTCTTGAGACTCTTATCTCCAATTAACCAATAAAAGCTAGAGTTGTGGCTCAAGTGGTAAGACACTATCCTTGAGCACTAAAGCTCAGGGACAGGGCCCTAGCCTTGAGTTCAAGCCCCAGTACCAGCACAAAAACCAGGAGGAGGAAGAGGAGGAGGAAGAGGAGGAGAAGGAAGAGGAGGAGGAGGAAACATTAGATTCATGCACTCCAATATTGTACTTTCCTGCAGGACAGTATAAACCAGCAATTGCTCACCGAGATCTGAGCAGTCAAAATGTGCTTATTCGGGAAGATAAGTCATGTGTCATTGGAGATCTGGGCCTTGCCTTGATGCTCCCTGGCCTCACTCAGCCTCCTGCCTGGGTCCCTACTCAGCCCCAAGGCCCAGCTGCCATCATGGAGGTGAGTATTCTGGATAAGGGTGAGGTCTTGGTTGTTGTTGGTGATGGCGATGCAACCTTTTTAGTTTTGACAATATAGACAGGCCTGCCTGTAGTACTTAATATATTGCTGAGTCTGTAGTTAGGGGAATGTTGTATAGACCAGGGCTGCAGGAAAGATTGCTATAGAGATCATTCTTGACCCTCCCCACCTCACTTTCCAGGCTGGCACCCAGAGGTACATGGCACCAGAACTCTTGGACAAGACTCTAGACCTACAGGATTGGGGCACAGCCCTCCGGCAAGCAGATGTTTACTCTCTGGCTCTGCTTCTGTGGGAGATTCTGAGCCGCTGCCCAGATTTGAGGCCTGGTAAAGTCCCCATACTTGTTGCCCTACCTGTGCCATTCTAGGGTCACCTACCTCCTGACCTAGTTCCAGAAAACTATGACCTTCTTCCTGACTTTTCTACATAGGAGCCACCCTCAGGATAAGCTGACACCCAGTCCCTATACCTTCCCCAGACAGCAGACCACCACCCTTCCAACTGGCTTATGAAGCAGAACTGGGCAGTACCCCTGGAACTTGTGAACTCTGGGCCTTGGCAGTAGAAGAGAGGAGGCGCCCCTACATTCCACCCACCTGGAACTACTTTGCCACAGTAAGAGGCCACAGGCTGGCTGATTGGGCCTTATTGAGTACTGTCTCGGAAAGGGCTTCAAGAACTTCTCTGGCAAGGTCTTTCTACTCTGTCTCCTCTCATTTCTCATTATTCCCTGGTTCATGTTCAGCTGTAGTTGGACAAAAATACTGGTGTTTAGTTTACTCATCTGTTTTGTTTTGCACCAGTTTGGAGCTTGAACACAGGGTCTGGGCACTGTCCCTTAGTTTTTGTTTTTTTTTTTGTCAGTTATAGGGCTTCAGCTCAAGACCAGGATGCTGTCCCTAAGCTTTTCTGCTCAAGGCTAGTACTTTACTACTTTGAGCCACAGCTCTACTTTCAGTTTTCTGGTGATTAATTGGGAGATAGTCTCACAGACATTTGTGCAAATATTGAACCAAGGTCCTCAGATTGCAGCTTCCTGAGTAGCTAATATTATAAGTGTTAGTCACCAGCACCTGGCAAGGGTCTGTGTTCTTGATCAACTTTTTTGCTAATGGTTGGTGTTCTACCACTTGAACCACACCTTTGCTTCTGGTTTTTGGCTAGTTAGTTGGAAATATGAGTCTCTTGGATTTTTCTGGCCAGCCTGGCTACAAACCTCAAACCTCAGATCTCAGCTTCCTGAGTATATAGGATTATAGGTATGAACACTGGTGCCCACTGAGTTCGATGTTTTCTCCCCTAAATCTCACAAAATCCTTCTATCTGAGACACATATCTTCCTGCGGAAGCTTGCCCAGGCCTTGTTTTCTCTCCATCGGTTAGCCTTGTTTCTCAGTCTTCTCCAGGAAGCCCTGATTTTGCCCCCAAGTTAGAACATCTTCTAGAACCTAAAATTCATACTTATTCTGTCTTATATATCCATATTTCTGCTGTGATCCAGAGCAAGGGATCTAATTAAGGATTAGAGTAGTGAAATAAAAGATTAGAGCAGTGAAAGCTCAGTCCCTCACAAATGATTCCCTAATGGGAGACTCGATCTTCTGCTATCTGGTCCGAAATTTTTATAATTCAAGTAGAGATTTATTGGTTTAGAAAATAGAAGGCAGGCTTTGTCTACTGAAGATCTCGATTGCCTGAGGAAAAGGAAAGTAACTTTCTATTAGCATGTTGTCAGCCTAAATTAGCAACACAGAGGAAAATGTAGATCCCACAGGAAGCACCCAGGGAGACTCTCTCATAGGGAACAAGTCTCAGAGGGCTAGACTTTAGTGAGGGGCAGGAGGAGACTCCAGAAAGGATCAGAAGTTGAGTGCTGAAAACTAAAAGCAGGAGTGGATAGCCTAGATGTGGACCTCAGTGGTGGTCGAACAAATGCTTAAAATATTAAAGGCTATTAGCCGGGTGCCTGTGGCTCATGCCTGTAATCCTAGCTACTCAGGAGGCTGAGATCTGAAGATCACGCACGGTTCAAAGCCAGGTTCAAAGCCAGTCTGGGCAGGAAAGTCCATGAGATTCTTATCTCCAATCAACCACCAGAAAACTGGAAGTGGTGCAGTGGCTCAAATGGTAGAGCGATAGCCTTGAGCTGAAGAGCTCAGAGACAACACCCAGGCCTGGAGTTTCAGCCCGTGACTACCAACAACAACAAAATATTTCAAGGCTTTAGGTTAGAAACCTGTAACTGAATACGGAAAAAAGAAAAGAAGCTAGTACCAGTGTCTCAGACCTTTAATCCTAGCTACTCAGGAGGCTGGGATCTGAGGGTCAAAGTTCAAAGCCAGCCCTAGCAGAAGAATTTGTGAGACTCATCTCTAATTATCAACATAAAAGCTAGAAGTGGAGCTGTGGCTCAAATGGTAGAGTGCCACTCTGAGCTAACAAATTTAGGGACAGTTCTCAGGCCATCAGTTCAAACTCCAGAGAGAAAGAAAAATAGAAGCAGTGAATGCTTTTCTTTTCTTCTTCTTTTTTTTTTTTTGTCGGTCGTGGGGCTTGAACTCTGGGCTTGGGCGCTGTCCCTGTGCTCTTCAGCTCAGGGTGAGCGCTCTACCACTTGAGTCACAGCGCCATTTATGGTTTTCTAGTGGTTTATTGGAGATAAGAATCTCATGGACTTTCCTGCATGGGCTGGCTTTGAACCATGATCCTCAGATCTCAGCCTGCTGAGTAGCTAGGATTACAGGTATGAGCCACCAGCGCCCGGCCAGTGAGTGCTTTTCAATCCTGGGGTCCATTCAAGATCTCAATGTCAAACCTGTGTCCTGGTCATTCCTTCCAGGACCTGAGTGGTCTGAGGGAGCTTTTGGAAGATTGTTGGGATGCAGACCCAGAAGCACGTCTTACTGCTGAGTGTGTACAACAACGTCTGGCAGCCTTGGATCATCCTCAGGAGCTCCACTCCTTCCCAGAGGATTGTCTACACAGCTGCCCAGCTCTCTGTCCAGAAGACTGTTCCTCATCACCTGCTTCTACCATTCTCCCCTGTAGGCCTCAGCTGAGTGCCTGCCACTGTGCTGTTCAGCAAGGCCCTAGCTCTAGGAATCCTCAGCCTGCCAATTCCAGCTCTCATGTGTAAACAAGGAATTTATATGGAATCTATGTACATGCAAACATAAATTTGCTGATCATATACCTGTTTGATCTGCCTTCCTCTGTCTTTCCTACTTGCTGAATCCTTAAGTTTTACTGTGGACATGTATGGTGGTTCTAATAAATTAGGGGGGCTGGGAAGGTAGCTCAGTGGTAGAGTGCTCACTTCGCATACATGAGGCCCTGGGTTCGATTCCTCAGCACTACATAAGCAGAAAAAGCTGGAAGTGGCGCTATGGTTCAAGTGGTAGAGAGCTAGCCTTGAGCTGAAGAGCCAAGGGACAGTGCCCAGGCCCAGAGTTCAGGCCCCATGACTGACAAAAACAAAAACAAAAACTAATAAATTAGGGTAAACATACACAGGGAAGAGGATACAATCAGTTTTCCTTACTCTGGTCCTGGGCCTTCTTCCATTTCTGTGACTCTAGCTACTCTCTCCCTTTCTCTGCTTTTCTGCCAGCATTTTAATTTATTTATTGGGTCTTGAATTGAGGACCTCCTTGCTCTTTTACTCAGAGCTGGTACTATACCACTTGACCCACATCTCCAATTTCTTTCTTTTCTTTTTTTTTGTTTGGTATTAGTCCATCCTGGTGCTTGAACCCAGGGTCTGGATAAGGTTGCTGAGTTTTTGTGCTCATGCTCTACTTTTGGCATTCAGGTGGTTAACTGGAGATCAACTTTGAACCTTGGTCCTCAGATCTTAGTCTCCAAAAGCTAGGATTACAGGTATGAGCCAGCCACTGGTGTTTGGTTTCATGGTTGATCTTAATTTTTCTTTCTTTCTTTTTTGTGCCAGTCCTGGAGTTTGAACTCAGGGCTGGGGCACTGCCCCTAAGCTTCTTTTGTTCAAAGCACTCTACCATTTGAGCCACAGTGCCACTTCTGGCTTTTTCTGTTTACGTGGTACTGAGGAATCGAACCCAGGGCTTCATGAATGCAAAGCAAGCATTCTACCACTAAGCGACATTCCCAGCCCTTGATCCTAATTGTTAAATTGATTAAGAAAAGTTGTCATGTGTCAGTGGTTCATGTCTGTAATACAAGTTACTCAGGAGGCTGAGATCTGAGGATCTCGGTTCAAACCCAGTCCAGGCAGGAAAGTCTGTGAGATGCTTATCTCCAATATACTACTCAGAAAAAGTTGGAAGTGACGCTGTGGCTCAAATGGTAGAGCATTAGCCTTGAACAAAAGAAGCTCAGGGACAGAGTGCAGGCCCAGATTTCAAGCCCTAGGACCAGTAAAAAATTAAATAAAATAAAAAGAAAAGCCTAGGGCCAAGCACTGGTTGTAATCTTAGCTAATTAGGAGGGCTGAAGTAGTGTGGTCTTGAAATCAGGGCCTAAGTGCTGTCCCTGAGCTTTTTGCTCAAGGTTCACACTTTACCAAGGATCACACTTTTTTTTTTTTTTTTTGGTGGTTAATTGGAGATAAGAGTCTTCTGGACGTTCTCCTTTGGTTGGCTTTGGACCCTGACCTTCATATTTTATTGTCCTGAGTACACAGGATTATGGGCCTGAGCCACTGGCACCTAGCCATGTCTTGCTGTTGTCACAATAAAATAATTTTTGGCCCACATTGAGGTAAAGAACAAGACAGTTTGGTAGTAAAGGAATGCAAAGAATAAGTGGATAGTATACAATCTACCCATGGGTGTGGCATATCCTATAGCAGGTAAAATGAATGCTCTCTAACACCATGGGTATTTATATGAAAAAAGTAGATTGAGGGTTTGGTTCAAATTCCCCTTAGGATAAGTGCTTCTCTTTATTTAGACACCTAGTATATTTAGTCATCCTTGCTGTTATACTGTTTTATCAATTGAGCCTAGAGATTTCAATGTTGGTTTGCTTACTAAATTTGGGTCTTTGTAACATAGATGTTTGAGCGTCTCTGTAAACAAAGGATGGGTTTTTACCAGATGCTCCCTTGAAGACAGGTATCCATCCTTGAGATATATATTTTTTCAAACATTGTGTGTATGTGTGTGTGTGTTTATCCAGAGGACTCATTTTCCCAAGAGTTTTTTTTTGTTGTTGTTGTTGGTTGTAGGGCTTGAACTCTGTGCCTGGGCCCTGTCCCTCAGTTCTTCAGCTCAAGGTGAGCGCCATTTGAGCCACAGCACCACTTTCAGTTTTTTGAGTGGTCAATTGGAGATAAGAGCCTCATGAACTTTCCTGCTTGGGCTGGTTTTGAACTGATATCCTCAGATCTCAGCCTCCTGAGTAGCTAGGATTACAGATGTGAGCCACCAGTGCCCAGATTTTTTTTTTCCTCCAGGATAAGTGTTTTGCTTGTTTTTTTTTTTTTTTGGTCGGTCGTGGGGCTTGAATTCTGGGCCTGGGCACTGTCCTTGCACTCTTCAGCTCAAGGTGAGTGCTCTACCGCTTGAGCCACAGCACCACTTGCTGTTTTTCGAGTGGTTTATTGGAGATAAGAGTTTCATGGACTTTTCTGCCTGGACTGGCTTTGAACCACGATCCTCAGATCTCAGCCTCCTGAGTAGTTAGGATTACAGGCATGAGCCACCAGCGCCCGGCTATAAGTGTTAAGTGTTTTTCTTTAAGATATCCTTGCTCAGTTCCCATGCCATAGTAATTATTTGTGCAAGTGGACAAGTCAGGGGGAAAGAGCTCTTTTTTTTTTTTTTTTGACAATCCTGGGCTTGAACTCAGAGCTTGGGCACTGTCTCTCAGCTTCTTTGGCTCAAGGATAGCATACTCTACCACAGTGCCATTTCTGGCCTTTTCTGTTTATGTGGTTCTGAGGAATAGAACCCAGGGCTTCATACACACTAAGCAAGCACTCTACCACTAAGCTACCTTCCCAGCCCCTGTTTCATTGTTTTACTCAAAGAATTTAGGAGGCTGAGCTGTGAGATTCCAGGTTTTGTTTTTTGGTCAGTCATGGACCTTGAACTCTGGGCTTGAATGCTGTCCCCCAGCTCTTCAGCTCAAGGCTAGCACTCTACCACTTGAGCCACAGCGCCACTTCCATTTTTCTGGTGGTTTATTGGAGAGAAGTGTGTCACAGAACTTCCTGCCGGGGTTGTCTTTGAACCTGGATCCTCAGATCTCAGCCTCCTGAGTAGCTAGGATCACAGGTGTGAGCCACTGATTCCGGGCTGAGACTCCAGGTTTGAAAGCAGCTGGGCTAGAAAAGTCCATGAGACTCTTACCTCTAATGTAACTACCAATAAACCAGAGTAGAGCTGTGGTTCAAGTGGTAGAGGGTCAGCTTTGAGAAAAAAAAAAAAAAAGCAAAGGGACAGTGCCCAGGCCCCAATATCCGCATTGAAAAAAAAAAAAAAGGCTTGTGGCGAGCACTCAGCAGTTTCCTGACTGTGTCATCTATCAGTGTTACCACACTTAATGGTTTGTTCACATTGCCAGGCAACTTGGGAGAGGTTTCTTCCCAGGTCTCAGGAATTTGGCCCCTCCCTTGACCCCGCCTCCAGGAACTTTTGCTCTGGGGCTTCTCCGCACCAGCCTCGCCCCAAGGAGCTCCACCTACCCACCCTCAACCGTTTCTTCTAAATCTGGTAGGACAACACAGTGACTGACAAGTCTGTTCTCCAATCACCATGCCGAGAGCCCACATCTTACCAATTAGGCGGCAACAGGGGCGGGAGCCGCAGCCTTGACTAGCGGGGAACAGGAAGTGAGCTTGGAAAAGGCTCGGGAGGACCGGTCTAATCCAGGCGCCAGAGGAAAGGTAACCCGGAGTCTGGCTCTCTAACTCCATCCCTTTTCCCTTTAGTGGGTCAGCCTGGAGCGAGGACTTCCATTTGCCACTTCTTTTGTAGGAAGCGGGTGTGTCGACTTATTTTAAGCCTTTTAGGGTCTTGAGCTCCCTTATTTCCTTTTGCTTTCTTAGGAGGCGAGGTGGGTCCTGACTTAGCAGCAGGCTGGTGACTTGCCCGGATCGCGGAAGGGAGCGACCTTCCTTGGGAGGCTGGGGTGTTAAGGTTGTTGGAGATCCTTTCTTATCCTGTAGGCGGTTAGAGCTCGGGGCGGGGGGGGGGGGGGAGGAGAGGGAGAGGGATAGGGGGGGGGAGAGAGAGAGAGGTGATAGGGAGCTGCAGATTCACGGGGAGAGAGGGGGAGAGGAAGAGGGACACTGAGAGTGACACAGAGAGAGAAAGGGAGAGGGAGGGAGGGAGAGAATGTGTGTGTGAGAGAGTGAGTGAGAGAGAGGAGTGATAGGGAGCTGGAGATTCACGGGGGGAGAGAGGGGAGAGGGAGGGAGAGAGAGTGTGTGTGTGTGCGTGTGTGTGTGTGTGTGTGTGTGTGAGTGAGAGAGAGAGAGAGAGAGAGAGAGAGAGAGCGCGAAACACGGACCTTGCCCTCTTCTAAGAAGTTAGACACTTCCTCTTTGGAGGTAGGTGGAGTGCTCCTGGCAACTTAAATTCCTGGGGTTAGGAACAGAGTAGGGATCTTAGGAACCTACTGGGTCTCCAGGGCACTGAGTACAAATAGAAAGAAGCATTTAAGTGAAGGTCTTGGTCCCTAAGTGAAGAGCCAGTTTTGGGTGAGAGATGTTATGGTTGGCCTTGGGCTCTTTGTCTTTTTCCTGCCCACGGGGTGGTCAACTTTTTGTTTCTTTTCTTACACCTCAGGCTTAGGAAAACACCTGAATATGTGGCATCCTAATGCAGGTAAGTGGTTGTTTTTTTGTTTTTGTTTTTTTTTTGCGGGGAGTGGAATTTTCTCTCCTCCTCCTCCTCTTCCTTCCTTCTTTCTTCTTTGTTTTGGTTGGTTGTGGGGCCTGGGTGCTGTCCCTCAGCTCTTCAGCTCAAGGCTAGCGCTCTACCATTTGAGCCACAGCACCACTTCCTGCTTTTTTCTGTTTATGTGGTGCTGAGGAATTGAGCCCAGGGTCTCATGCATGTAAGGCAAGCACTCTACCCCTGAGCCACCTTCCCAGCCCATTTTCTTCTTTTTCTTTTTTGTCTGTGCTGGTCCTACGGTTTGAACTCCGGTCCTGAGAGCTGTCCCTTAGTGTTTCTGCTCAAGACTGGTGCTCTACCACTTGAGCCACAAGTCCAGGTTCTAGCTTTTTGGTAGTTAATTGGAGATTAAAGTCTCACAGATTTTCCTGCTCAGGCTGGCTTTGAGCCATGATCCTCAGATCTCAGCTACCTAAGTAGCTAGGATTATGGTGTGAGCCATGGGTGCTGGACCCACCCCAACCCATTTTCTTTTTATTTTGTTGATTGTGGGGTTTGAGGTCAAGTCTGGGTGCTATATTTGAGCTCTTTTGCTCAAGGCTAATGCTTTACCACTTGAGCCACAGTTTCACTTCTGTTTTTTTGGTGGCTAATTTGGAATAAGAGTCTCTTGGACGGGCTGGGAAGGTGGCTCAGTAGTAGAGCACTTGCCTTGCATGCATGAGGCTCTGGGTTCGATTCCTCAGCACCACATAAGCAAAAAGAAAAAAGCCGGAAGTGGTGTTGTGGCTCAAGTGGTGGAGCACTAGCCTTGAGCTGAAGAGCTGAGGGACAGCACCCAGGCCCAGAGTTCAGGCCCCACGACCGGACCCCCCCCCAAAAAAAAAAAAAAAAAGAATCTCATGGACTTTCCTGCTGATGCTGGCTCTGAACCATGATCCTCAGATCTCAGCCTCCTGAGTAGCTAGGTTTACAGGCATGAGCCACCAGAGCCCACCTTTTACCCCTATTTTCTGATGGGCTACAGTATGGGAAGTTTCTGAATCTACCCCCATCCCTAATCTGGAATGTTGTCCCCCCCTCCCTTTTTTTAACCTCAGCTTACATTTGGTTTGTCCTCTCTAATATATATTTTCTTCATCTTTATATTTAAGGAAGAGTGTTGTGTATTTGATATCAGAGGTTCTAAGACATATACATTTTTAATTCTCTGGTTCTTTTACCAGGGCAGCCGGTGCAAAATCCAAGTATCCCTTACATGGGGTGCCCTGGAGGTTCTAATCCTGGGTGTCCACCTCCTTTGTGCCCACCATCTGTAAATCCGGCCATTCCTCCTGGTCCTGTTCCCGGGTGTCCCTTTCCTCCAGGACCTCCCCAGGGGAACCCAGCTTTCCCTCCATGTGGGCCCTCTTACCCTGTGCCACAGCCACAGTATCCAGGATACCAACCCTCAGGTCCTTACCCTCCCCCATGCCCACCACCTGCACCTGGCATGTGTCCTGTGAATCCCCTGGCTCCTGGCATAGGCCCACAAGCCCCAATGGACAAGAAAACACTGAAGAAAATGAAGAAAGCACATAAAAAGATGCACAAACACCACAAGCATGGCAAGGTCAGTGTCCTTTGGAGCTTGGCTATAGTACGGGTGGTCTTTGAAGGGGTTATGTACTACCTACGTTAGGGAGGGAGATTCAGTCTGGACTTGGGGGATGGCACTAGTGTTGCTCTGATAAATGGGTCTTCCCTTTTGTAAAGAAATCCTTGGAAGGAATCTAGTAGTTATCTTGAAAAGAAATGCCTGACCTTTCTTATGTAGAAGGAGGAAACTTAGAATAGTTATCATCAAAAGCCTTCTCAGCTTGACTGCCTTTCCCAGAACTTTTGGTTCCCCCACCCCTCAAGGTGTGTCCTTTAGTGTGTTGACACTCCCACTGACATTGTGCAAATGTCAACAGAGTCAATTCCTTGATTAAACAGTCTTATACAATAGTTGGGCACCCCCATTGAGGTTAAAATGTTAGCTAATTGAGTCAGTCCTTTGACAAAGCAAAGTTTTATATAATAATTAGCAGAATGATAATTTGGCTCTAGTTCCTGAAACTGCAATAGTCTCCCCTGCTGTAGTCCAAGGGTGTTGTGTAATTATATAGGTGTTCCTTCAGTGATTCAGATGTAAACAGACCCTGGGGCTTTCACACTAAGTCAAAGTATCTTCCTGGCTAAGGATCTTCATTCAAGCTGGGTTTACCCAGTAATCCTAGCTATACAAGAGCTAATCCTAGTTATTCCGGAGGCTGAGATCTCAGGATCTTGATTCAAAGCCAGCTTGGGCAGGAAAGACTATATCTCCAGTTAACCAACAAAAAGTTGGAAGTAGAGCTGTGGTTCAAGGGTGTTGGGGATTTAGCTCAGTGGAAGAGCATTTGCCTGAATTTGGTCCTCAGGTCTAAAAAAACAAAACAAAACAAAACAAAAAAACACTGTAACACAAGTGGTAGAGAGTACCAGACTTGAGAAAAAAGAAAAAAATCTAGGCCCTAGTACCAGCACACATATCCTCCCCAACACACACAGCACAGAGCTCTGAGTTCAAGTCCCAGTATCAGCATACATGCATACATACCCACACCAACACACATTCAAAGAGAGTTCAGAGCCTTGAGTTCAACCCCAGTACCATCACACCCACACCTATAACCCACACACAGAGAGGGCAAAGGCCTGAGTTCAAGGCCTAATACCAGCACATATACATAGAAGTATCTTCATTCTGTGGTATAATTGGCCTGGTTAGGAGTGGCTCTAAGGACTTGGGAAGGAGTAATGAAGAATACCAACCTGGGTCTTCAGGAGTTCTCTGGAGTTCTCTTTTTTGTCCATTGTGGGGTTATTGAACTCAGTCTCACAAGTGTTGCTATGGCTCAAGTGGTAGAGGGTTCACCTTGAGCTGAAATGCTGAGGGACAGCACCCAGGCCCAGAGTTCAAGAGCTATGACTAACCAAAAAAAAAAAAAAAGAAATTATTCCTTTTTAAGTTGCACACCTGTAATCCTAACTACTCAGGAGTCTGAGATCTGAAGATCATGGTTCAAAGCCAGCCCGTGCAGAAAAGTCCATGAGATTCTTATCTCCAATAAACCACTAGAAAACCAGAAGTGGTGCTGTGGCTCAAGTGGTAGAGCGCTAGCCTTGAGCTGAAGAGCTGAGGGACAGCACCCAGGCCCAGAGTTCAGGCCCCAGGACTGACAAAACAAAAACAAAGAATCAGACTTTCCTGCCCAGGCTGGCTTTGAATCTAGATCTTCAGATCGCAGCCTCCTGAGTAGCTAGAATTACAGGCACAAGCCACCAGCGCCCAGCAGGATTTTTTTTTTTTCTTTTTTTCTTTTTTCTTTTGTTGGTCTTGGGGCTTGAACTCTGGCTCTGGGCACTGTCCCTGAGCTCTTCAGTTCAAGGCTAGCACTCTGCCACTTGAGCCACAATGCCACTTCTGGCTTTTTTCTGTTTATGTGGTGCTGAGGAATCGAACTCCCCCCCAACCCCCTAGGAGTTCTTAAATTAACATTTTACTGCCCAGTATTAGCCTTCTGGATTTGGGCTCTACTTCCTAATTCTTAGTCTTTAGTAGAAGTGTGAGAAGGAAAGATGAGACTAAATGAGGGAGAAAACCCTGAAGAGACAAAAGAAAATTTGAGGAATATGATTGTAAGTAATCATAAATAGGCCCCAGGCTTTTCTTCCCACTTTCCCCACTTTCTCCCTGATGGAAATAAGAAAAAGTAATGCTATATGCACAATTGCATATAGCTGCATTCTCTCCCTCCCTCCCTCCCTCCCTTCCTTCCTTCTGTCCTCTCTAGCACTCTCTGTTTCTGTCTGTCTCTGTCTCTGTCTTTTTTTTTTGCCAGCCCTGGGGCTTGAACTCAGGGCCTGGGCACTATTTCTGAGCTTCTTTTGCTCAAGACTAGCACTCTACCACTTGAGCTACAGGGATATTTCTGGCCTATTCTGTTTATGTGGTACTGAGGAATTGAACCTAGGGCTTCATGCATGCTAGGCAAGGACTCTACTACTAAATCACATTCCCAGCCTTCTGTCTCTATCTCTCTCTTTGAGTGGGTATTGGAGCTTGAATATAGGGCTTGGGTACTCTCCTTTTGCTTTTTGGCTCATGGCTGTCAATCTGCCATATGAGCCACAGTTCTACTTCTGGTATTTTGGTGGTTAATTTGAGATTAAGAGTTTCTCCTGCCCAGGCTGATTCTTAGAGCTCATCCTTCTGAGTAGCTAGAATTAGAGGCATAAACCACCTCTTTTCTCTTTCTCTCTCTCTCTCTCTGTCTCTCTCTGACTCGCTGTGTTTTAGGTTTATACTCAGGGACTGAATGCTGTCTCAGAGCTTTATCAGCTCAAGGCTAGCACTCTACCACTTGATTAACAAGTGTACTTTGGACTTTTTGGTGATTAATTGGAGATTAAGGTCTCACGGACTTTTTTTGGTCAGTTGTGGGGCTTGAACTCTGGGCCTGGGCATTGTCCCTCATGCCTTCAGTTCAAGGCAAGCGCTTTACCACTTGAGACACAGCCTTACTTCCGGTTTTCTAGTGGTTTATTGGAGATAAGAGTCTCATGGACTTTCCTGCATGGGCTGGCTTTGAACCATGATCCTCAGATCTCAGTCTGCTGAGTAGCTAGGATTACAGGTGTGAGCCACCTGTGCCTGGCTCTCATGGACTTTTCTGTCTGGGCTGGCCTAAAACCTGTTCCTCACTCAGATCTCAAATCCTAGCTACTCAGCCTCCTGAGTAACAAAGATTACAGGAATGAGCCATTGGCACTCAATTCTGTTTTCCTAGATTCAGAGAATCTGGTTTCTTACATTTGTGAGGATGTCAGAACTCTAGAGCACTGTGGAGACTGGTTGGCTCCGCCAGATTTGACTGGTATGCTTGGATTATGAATGATGCCAGCAGGAAAATCCTACTTGTGTGGTTATTTATTTTATGTCTCAGTAAAGACACAGGATTATGAGTGCCTGACCTGCTTGCTTCAGTAATCATATCAAAAGACAAGAGGAGTCCCTGTATGTATTACTGCTTTCTGGTATCCTGAATCTGTTGAAACTACTGATCTTAGTACTTCCTAATTTTTGCTTACCCCTTGTGATGTGCCTCTGTGGAAAATTTTCCCCTTAACTTTTTTTTTTTTTCTGGGCCTGGGTGCTGTCCTTCAGCTCTTTAGCTCAAGGCAAGCACTCTACCATTTGAGCCACAGCGCCACTTCCAGTTTTCTGGTGGTTTATTGGAGATAAGAGTCTCATGGACTTTCCTGTCCAGGCTGGCTTTGAACCTTGATCCTCAGAGCTCAGCCTCCTGAGTAGCTAGGATTACAGGTGTGAGCCACCAGTCCCTTGCCCGACCACTTAACTTTTTAAAGATAGTTTTGGGACAATCTAAGCCTATAAAAAGCTGAGAGTAGGCTGGGAAGTTGGCTCAGTGGTAGAGCGCTTGCCTTGCATGCATGAGGCCTTGGGTTTGATTCCTCAGCACCACAAAGCAAAAAAAGCCAGAAGTGACGCTGTGGCTCAAGTGGTAGAGTGCTAGCGTTGAGCTGAAGAGCTGAGGGACAATGCCCAGGCCCTGAGTTCAAACCCCAGGTCTGACACAAAACATAGGATTTTAGGCTTTTGGGTACCTGGGTGGTGGGATGGGATACCAAAGAATGGCCTGTAGAATAATTTGGATCTGATATTTTGTCCTTTTCCCCTTTCCCCTTGCAGCATTCCTCCTCTTCCTCCTCCTCTTCCAGCAGTGACTCTGACTGAATTCAGGGCCTGGACCCTCCCCTCAAGTCTCACCAGTTTTGCTCTCATCAAGCTTCTGCTGCGGTGTTGTACTAGGGGGAAATTAGCCCTCTGATCCCCACCCCACCCTCATCTGAGCCTTACCCTGCTGTTCAGCCCTGACTGGCTAGGGAAATGGATCAAGGATTGCTGTGGGCTAGTAAAGACCATCTTCTTCCTGGTTGATAGATCTTAGAGCTGAAGACTTTATTTCTTTTGTTTTCTTTTTCTTTTTTTTGGTTCGAGAATGGGACTCCAGCTCAGTACCTGATGCTTTTACTCATTGGCTGGCACTCTACCAATTGAGCCATGCCTCCAATCTCAAGAGCTGAAGACTTTTAACAGGGGAGCAGTTTTTTGAAGATGGTGAAACCTCTGAGCTAAATGCTGAAGACAAGTTTAAATTATGTAAAATGTGATTTTTTTCCTTCCATTTCTGTTTGTAATACTTGTGGTTGGTGGAAATTTCATTATGTAAAAAACCTGTATTTTTTTTCTTTTCTTTTTTTTTTTTTTTTTTATAAAGGTAGCATACTAGGATCATTTAGAGCTAGATATGTTCCCAGCAGGCCTCTTACTGATTTCATTAACTGCAAGGCTGCCTTGATTCAAAGCAAGAGTCTATTTTATTGATGAGCTTTCTGGAAATGTAATCTCTACTCCTTAGCTCAACATGCTAGCTCAGGTCCTACTCTAATTTTCTAATTCTCAGTCCAAATAAAGCTATTTTTTTCTGGTCTCTGTTCACCTGTGCCATTACCTTTGCTGGTCTCAGCACATTGGACTACTTGTGTTCCTCTTCCTCTGTCCAGGCTGGCTTTGAACCAATTTCCTTCATGTCTCAGTCTCTTGAGTAGGATTACAAGTGGCAGCCATTGGAACATAGCTTGTGATGGTTATTTTTGAGATAGGATCTCACTTTTTTGCCCTGGCCTATACCTGGACTGAAGTCTGCCTAGTTTATGTTTCACATCAAAGTTGGGATGACAGATGTGCACTATCATGCTCAGCTGCTTCCACTGGGATGGAATCTTGGAGGAGGAAGAACTTTTCTGCTGGTCTGATATAAAAACAGTCCTGACCTCAGCTTCTCACATAGGTGGGTGCAAGTGGGTGCCATCACACCCAGCTATTAGTTGAGAAAGGTTCTCATGTTGTATGGTTGGGTTGGCCTTTGACTTCAATCCTCTTCACCTCAGCTTCCTAAGTATTAGAATTATAGACATGAACTGCTGGTACTAACTGAAGTCTATTTTTATGAGCTAAGTAGGGCTGACAGTGGGGCTCAATGTACTAGTCTTGCCTAGTATAGTTGAGGCCTTAGGTTCAGCCCTAGTATGAAAAAAAGAAACAGTGATGCTGATTGATGCTAAAATAGATGATCATGCTAAAATGGAAGGTTATTAGTTTATTATATACCATAGACAGTACTATACATTGAATTTTGTTTCTTTGATGCCAGGCTAGCCTTCAGCTCACCATCCTCAGCCTCTTGAGTGCTGGGATTATAAGCTTGTGCCATCATGCTTCCTTCACTACTAGATCTTTTTATTCCCAAACTGGGTCTTTAACTCAAGAGCCTTGAGCTTTGCTTAGCTTTTCCACTTAAGGCAAGCATTCTACCACTTGAGTTGAGCCACACCTACACTTCCTATTTTTTTTCTGGTTAGTTAGAGATAAAGAGTCTAGCAGCTGGGCACCAGTGGCTTAGGGCTGTAATCCTAGCTACTCAGGAGGCTGAGATCTGAGGATCATGGTTCAGAGCCAGCTGGGGCAGGAAAGTCCATGAGACTCCAATAAACCACCAGAAAACCAGAAGTGGTGATGTGGCTCAAGTGGCAGAGCACTCGTCTTGAGCTGAAGAGCTCAGGGTCAGTGCCCATGGATGGTGGGGGTGGGGGAGTAGGAATCTAGCAGATTTGACTGTCTGGGCTAGCTTCAAACTCAGATCCTCAGATGGCTTCTGAGTAGCCAGGATTATAAGTAAGCCAATGGTACTGGCTTTTTCACCAGATCTTTTAAGGATCCAATGTGATTGGGGTGTGTTGGCATATATCTTTTTTTTTTTTGGGTCTGGTTGTGGGGCCTGAACTCTGGGCCTGAGCACTGTCCCTCAGCTCTTCAGCTCAAGGCTAGTGCTCTACCACTTGAGCCACAGCGCCACTTCCGGCTTTTTTTCTTTTTGCTTATGTGGTGCTGAGGAATCAAACCCAGGGCCTCAGGCATGCAAGGCAAGCGCTCTACCACTGAGCCAACTTCCCAGCCCCTTGGCATGTATCTTTAATCCCAGCATTTAGAGGTTGAGGCAGGAGGATCACTAGTTCTAGGCCAGCATAGTCTGCACTAAGATCTTGTCTCATTCCATGTCAGTTACTCATGCATGTAATCCTAGCTACTCAAGAGGCTGAAATCTGAGGATTATAGTTGGAAGCTAGCTTGGACAAGAAAGTCTGATTAGCAATTATCAAAAAGAGCCCCAAGTAGAGCTGTGGCTCAAGTGGTAGTGCACTTGGCCTTGAATAGAAAAGCTTAGGGACAGAGCCTAGGCCCTAAGTTCAAGCTCCAGGACTGGCACACACACACACAAAAAAAAAATCCTGTCATACACACACACATACACTCAGGAAAATATAAAAGTAAGGTTCCCCTTGGCAACAATGATTAGCAGATAATTTGTAAACCTCTTTTTTTTTTTTGGTCCTGGGGCCTGAACTCTAGGCCTGGGCGCTGTCCCTCAGCTCTTCAGCTCAAGGTGAGTGCTCTCCAACTTGAGCCACAGGACCACTTCCAGCCTTTTCTGTTTGTGTAGTGCTGAGGAATTGAACCCAGGGCCTCATGCATGCAAGGCAAGCACTCTACCACCTTCCCAGTCTATAGGGAAGGTGCCAGTCCAGGGGTTGGGCACTGTCCCTTAGCTTTTTTTTTTTTTTTTTTTGGTTGGTCGTGGGGCCTGAACTCTGGGCTTGGGCTCTGTCCCTCAGCTCTTTAGCTCAAGGCTAGCGCTCTACCACTTGAGCCACAACACCCACTTCAGCTCAAGGTGAGTCCTCTCCCACTTGAGCCACAGCACCACTTCCAGCCTTTTCTGTTTGTGTAGTGCTGAGGAATTGAACCCAGGGCATCTTGCATGCAAGGCGAGCACTCTACCACTGAGCCACCTTCCCAGCCCTCCCTTAGCTTATTTTGCTCAAGGCCAGCACTTTACCACTTGAGCCACAGCACCACTGCTGTTTATTGAGGAATTGAACCTAGGGCTTCATGCATGTTAGGAAAGCACTCTAAGCCATATTCCCAACCCAGTCTCCTCTTTTTTTACTACCTTACATTGTTTTCTATTGCTCCTCCCCAAGCTTTATATCAAATGGGAGCATGCTACTAACTCCTTTAATTAACTTGGGAGTTGGTTTTGAGTAAGTATGTAGAACATATTAGATGGATAATCTTTTGTTATGTGATACTTAAGAGAGGTACACTGCATCTATTTTGACAATCTTTTTTTTTTTTCTTTTGGGTCCGGTCATGGGGACTGAAGTCAGACTGGGCGCTGTCCCTCAGCTCTTCAGCTCAAGGCTAGCGCTCTACCACTTGAGCCACAGTGCCACTTCCGGCTTGCTTTTTTTTGCTTATGTGGTGCTGAGGAATCAAACCCAGGGCCTCAGGCATGCAAGGCAAGCGCTCTACCACTGAGCCACCTTCCCAGCCCCTATTTTGACAATCTTATAAGATTATATTACCTAAACTTAGCATAGTAATGGGTGTCTGCCATTTCAATTAGGAGACAAAGCCTGGAGTAGAGTATCTTTTTTTTTTTTTTTTTGGGTCCGGTCGTGGGGCCTGAACTCTGGGTCTGGGCGCTGTCCCTCAGCTCTTCAGCTCAAGGCTAGCGCTCTACCACTTGAGCCACAGGACCACTTCCGGCTTTTTTCTTTTTGCTTATGTGGTGCTGAGGAAGTGAACCCAGGGCCTCATGCATGCAAGGCAAGCGCTCTACCACTGAGCCACCTTCCCAGCCCCGAATTTTTCTTTTTTTTGACCTCAGTGCCTGGGTACTCTCTGTGATCTTTTGCTCAAGGTTAGTGCTCTACCACGTGAGCCACAACTCCACTTCTGGCCTTTTGGGATATTTTAGTGGAGATAAGTGTCTTACGGACTTTCTTGGCTGGACTGGCTATGAACCATGAACCATGATCTTTAGATCTCAGCCTCATGAGTAGGCATGAGCCACTAGCACCTGCTCTCTACATTAATTAATTAATTCATTTATTGTCAATCCTGGATCTTGAACTCAGGGTATGGACACTGTCTTTGAGCTTCTTTTGCTTAAGGCTGGTACTCTACCACTTGAGCCACAGCACCACTTCCTTTTTTTTCAGTTTATGCGGTACTGAGGAGTCAAACCCAAAGGCTCATGCATGCGAGGCAAGCACTCTACCACTAAGCCACATACATTCCCAGCCCCTCTACATTTATTTATTAACTGTATTTTTTTTTAATTTCTTTTTGGGGTACGGTTGTGGGGCCTGAACTCTGGGCCTGGGTGCTGTCCCTCAGCTCTTCAGCTTAAGGCTAATGCTCTACCACTTGAGCCACAGCGCCACTTCCAGCTTTTTTCTTTTTGCTTATGTGGTGTTGAGGAATCGAACCCAGGGCCTTATGCATGCAAGGCAAGTGCTCTACCACTGAGCTACCTTCCCAGCCCTTAACTGTATTCTTTTAAGTTTTGCTAAAGATTTATTTTAGTATGACAGGATTAAAATAGGAATACACAAGAGAAACATTTCCTGTTCTCTATACCTACTTAGCTACTATAGTGAACAGAGGTTGAAAAATTGGGAGCCTGTGGCTAAAACTGGCTGGCTGTGAGACTTGTGGAGAGACCACTATTTGTTAAATATTAGATGTGTATGTAATGGATTCAGATTTCCAGCTGAACTCTAGTAAAAATAGTCTTATATCCCTCAGAGCATAACCTCTGGCCCAAGTAGTGGTCATTTCTCATAGATGAGTCCTGACTCTGATTGTCCCATAGTCCTTTACTCTCTCTGTTGGTTTTTCCTTTTTTTTGGTTGGTTATGGGGCTTGAACTCTGGGCTTGTGTGCTGTCCTTGCGCTCTTCAACTCAAGGTGAGTGCTCTACCACTTGAGCCACAGCGCCACTTCCATTTTTCTGGTGGTTTATTGGAGAGAAGAGTCTCAGAGACTTTCCTGCCCAGGCTGGCTTTGAACCGAGATCCTCAGATCTCAGCCTCCTGAGTAGCTAGGATTACAGGCGTGAGTCACTGGCACCTGGCTTCTGTTGGGTTTTCTTTTTTTTGGGGTGGGGGTCGATTGTGGGGCCTGAACTCTGGGCCTGGGCTCTGTCCTTCAGCTCTTCAGCTCAAGGCTAGAGCTCTACCACTTGAGCCATAGCACCACTTCCGGCTTTTTCTGCTTATGTGGTGCTGAGGAATTGAACCCAGGGCCTCATGCATGCAAGGCAAGCACTCTACCACTGAGCCACCTTCCCAGACCCTGTTGGTTTTTTTTAATGACATTTTTTACTAGCTCCAGAGAGCAGTGGGTTTGCATCCCATGCTTTTTAGATCAGTACATGTCTCCAAAACTGGTGGTTCTCAGCTGGGTGCTGGTGGCTCAGGACTGTGATCCTAGTTGCTTAGGAGGCTGAGATCTGAAGATTGTGGTTCAAATCCAGCCCAGGCAGGAAAATCTGTGAGACTCTTATCTCCAGTTAGCCACC